CTTAATGTTAACAGACGAAGGTCTTAGTATGTGTCCTGGTTGAATCGATTATTAACTTCAATACCGTCACTGTTGCGGACATCCATTAGCGGCAGCCTCGAGTGATGGTTGAAGCCCCTTCCAGGTGCCAATCACTCACTAAAGTGACTTCACTGTCTCCTAAAAGTTAGCCCTTTTGGTTTTTGAGATAATAAGGGTTAAAATTTTGGCTAAGCTCTTTCCTCAACTTTGAAGACGCGTCATTTTATGGGCCAGCCTTATAACGCTTGGGCCTTGAATCCAACTGTCTTGATGCTTGAATAGGCTAGTCCAGCAGATACTACCGGCTTTAGTTACTGTTCTAGTGGTGGCCTAGTCTTCCCCGTGTCCTTGATTTGAATTCTGCGATTTGCGTTGCCGATGTCTGTGAATTGTCTGGAAAGGCTATCCAAGAAGAGAAGGTTCCGAGGCATTGAATTTGAAAGTTTGTTTTAGAGTTCACCGGCCCAACGGGTGAAAAGGTGAACTTAAATGGGTTCATTTAGTGTTAGTAGTAGGCCTGAAGAAAACCACAGCTTCACTGAACTGGGAGGAATCTCACCTCCTCTTTGGAAAGCCTTTTTGAATGAGCTTTCTGATCTGTCTTATGGCCTATAATCAGTCTCTGGCACTTGGATGGGATTAACGGTCTCACGACGCTTCTGGACCACTAAAGTCGGGGTTGAGGACCGTTCTGCACCACCTCTCTTATAACATGCTGCTCGAGCCTGTCATCTGTCGCCTGAAAACAATCACACGTTTTGGAGTGAAGAAACACAGGCACACGCATCAGTGCTTTTCCTTTTTCTTCCCCATTCTTTACTTCACGTGGTGCCAAAGTATTTACATATCACTGCCGCTGCCTCCTCCACCCCATGCAGGGATTGATGAGATCTCCTGAACTGTTTCTGGCTTTTAGGGTAATTAAGTATTTCATCTCTTCCCTCTGCTCGTAGAAAGGGATGCAATTCCTCCCACCTTTTAATTAGAACAAATGAGGGGATGTGTAAGAAGAGAAGAGAAACACAGTAAAACTTTGATTAATAGGGAGATGGGAGAGATGTTGAAAACACTGTTTGGATGGAGATGAAAAACTCCCAGCATTTTGTGTTTACATATCTTTGTGCATGGGAGGGCTGTTCTAGGCGAACGAGGGCTTTAATTTTCCATGTTTCTATGGCGGTAGTACCGCACACACACACACACACACACGCAATGATAAGGCGGAAGCACTGGCCAGTTGGCACACATGTTGTGGTCCGGTTCAGTCGGCACACCGTTAATCAAGATGACAAGCAGGCAACAGTGGTACAGCGTGCTTGTAACGACTTGTGGTGATGAATAGACCTCCTTGTCAATGCGGACATAAAATCCAAACCTCAACGGCAGCACGCCGACCAGTAGGTAGTGCAAATACCACCGTCTGTCTGACTACACTTCCCCAGAAGACATTGCTGTGAATGGTAGACTGGTCTTTGAACCATTTCATCCCAAAATTGCCAAAGCACTTACGAATGTGGAGGTCTAATGTGGAAGGTATCCTGCATGCCACCTTTTAAAAACTATTTCCTCTTACACTTTCCCATCTACAGGCACAATTGGACCGAGAGGTGATAGAGAGGATCACGTTGATTGTGACCGTAACGGATTCACTAAAAAAACCCGTCTTCACAGCCACCGCAACCGTCTCCATTGAGGTCCAGGACGAGAATGACAATAGCCCAGTGTTTGTGAATCCGCCTGCCAACATAGGCTTCCCATTTCATCAGAACGACTTCCAGTCGCACGCCTTCACGGTGAGAGAAAATGCACCACGCTATACACGTCTTAGCGGACGTCTCGAAGCTCGTGATCCCGATGCAGTGAGTCTCCTCCTCCCTTCATTACTTTTGTTTCCGATACTAAAATCAACATTGCTATGCCTTACTTATGTGCTGGCAGGAAATTGTCAAAGAGAAACGTGTTTCCCTGATTCTACTGACTTATCTCGAGAAATCAGTGGCTCAGAACTGTGCGCAACGTCGTCTCATTTGGCGACGATATCTACAGAAGTTAGCGTCCAGGACAGCACGAAGTCTCAAATGCCAGCGTCAGCTTTCAGTTTTTGGCCCTCATGTGACGCGTTTCCCTTGGTTTGACTTTATGGAGGCGCGAATATGCAATCCTTGCAGGCGATAATTTCAATCTTATCGCCCCTCCAAATCAGGCACATGGGTATAAATTGTGCAAAACATTTTTCCTCCCCAAAGCACCGTACACATTTTTCCTCCAGCCTTGTTTCTGCCCTGATGTTTCAGCGTACTTTTACTCGCCTTTGAGGCGTTTTGCATCCAGCCCTTCAGCAAGGGTTCAGTGTCTCTCTACGTCACACGAATAGCTAAACGCTCACCAGATATGGTGTGGTGTGTTTTAAAAGTGTGAAGTGGGTAGCAGGCCTTGAGGCCTCCTGGCACACTCGGTGGCATTGTGTTTGGTCCATCCAAAGTTGTGGTGCTGCCTTGGTGTCCACATTAGGTGCTAGTGTGCGTTGGTTTTTGGCGATTTATTCCCGTGTTATTAAGAGTGTGCAATTTTCCATCCATGAGTAATGGAGGGCGTTTCCTCCTTCAGAAGATGCGGCCTCCGTGATTGAATGAATCACCTCCAAAAGCGCACTTTTTACACCATTTCTGGACGATGACCTTGTCCTTTAAATGTCATTTAACAGACCTGGAACTATAGTCAAAGAGCGGGGAGGTTTAACTCCTTCCAACTGAGTTGAAGGTCTCAACTCGAGCGAGAATAGCTGGTGAGGACAGGGAATCAAGTCCCACCTTCCCAATTCTTATCCTGCATCATCAGCTCCTTCTTTTTGTTTTAAAACTCCATATTTTTAGCCACCAGCATTAATTAAAGGCTGTCTTGAGGAGGAGGGAGGGCCACGCCACGCTGTAATTGCTGAGGTGTTTGAGTTACTCCTCAGACGTTTGCCACAGTTCATTGACGTCAATCAATGTCACTTTTAGTGCTTGTGCAAACCACCCTTTTCCAGCTAACAAAAGCGAGTAGAAAGATGCCTCTTTTTTCACCACAATTTTTGCCATAAAAGTGCGTAAACAAGAAAAGCTATTCGGAGTTGCTGCCCCATTTGAGCCCATCTCCGTGCTCTCTCGCTCACTACACCCACGCACGTCTTAATGTGTGACTTTGAACTCGTGTCAAGTCGATCTCTCAAACAGTAGAGTCGTTTTGACAGCTTTTCATCCTTTCTTTCGGAGTGGCAGGCTGGCTGGGATACTGAGGCCTTCTCACCTCCTCAATGCTGGTCGGAAGTGACCGCTTAGATCGTCCTAAACTATTGAAGAAAGAGTGGCTCATCAGGTCCGACTAATGCTTCCACCAACCTTGGTGTGCTTGCCCTCGGCCAGAACAGGCAGCTGGTAGCAGCGATTCACTCCGCCCTGCCAATTACGACCAATTTTTTTCTTCCTGTCAGTGCAGGGCAGTCACTGATCCGGGTCTCGTGAAGTCACGCTGGAAAGGTGGTATCCAAGTTGCGCTCATTGTTGGATGATTTGCGAGACTTTTTTGATTACTAGAAAATTGACAAACTAGTCAGTTAACGTGTTTACTACCGGGGCACTGTGGAGGAAAATGGACCATCACAACTCAGACGCTTTATAGGTCTCTCTCTCTCTCTCACTCTGGTATGACATTAATTGTTTTTTGGCCCGATTTCCCCTCTCCGTTTCATTAATAGCCTGACCGAGCGCGTCTCGTGTGGACGTCACATAAATGTGATATCTTTCATAAAGGTATACAATCCCCGTCTATAAATAATGGATTTATGGTACTTTTTGATCTCGGAGGCCATT